ATATACATGAAGATAATGAGTTCCAGGCTAGCCTGGGCTACACAGTGAGAGATCCTGTCTTGCAAAAATAAATAAATCTGAACGAGAAAACAAGTTAAAGCAAAGACAATAACCGAAAAAAATACTGATCAATCATGTGGCTCTTCATCACTATGTCCTAAATACTGAGAATTGGGATACATATTTGGTCTAGCATGCCATCATTACTGTTAAGCAGGAAGTTAGCTCTAGGAGGAATTAATAGGGCTCCCAAAATAGGACCTAAAGAACCATAGGTAGACCTGCTCCTGTCCCTGAAACAAAATACAAAGATAATGCCCAGTGGTGCATCTACAATGAAACCCTACACTTAAGAACTTAAGACTCAGGTAACAGAAGAGGGTTCTAAGAGCCAGAAAAGGGCACCTCCTGCCAGATGGTGTCTTCTAGACATGACAGGGAAGCTGTACCATGAAATCTCCATAGTATGGTTGCCTAAACAGGAGCTGCATAATGACATCACTAGTTGACATGCCAATGTGGATGGGGAAATTTCACAGGACTCCACCCCTAGGTGAAGAGTTACAGGCAATCAATGGCTACTGAGAGAGGGAGATTCAGTATTCCCCAAGGATGAGCTATCTGACAAGTTATCCAATCCTAAATGGTCAGTCCTAAACACAAACATATGAGGAACTCTCAACTGCTTACCATTCTCCTCTTTGATCTCAGAAGTGACAGCATCATTAGTGTGGTGGTGCTGATAGATCGGTTAGGTCCAGGCCTAGTTTGAGGGGTACATGAACATAGAGCTGACCTGAACATACATTTATGAGTGACACTTTATGTTGTTAAATCAACTGACATTGTTCCCAGGCATCTACTTTAGACACAAGTGAGCCTGAGAAACAACGAATGAGAAGGAATAAGGAACGAGCTAAACTCAGGCTGGAGGCGAAGTACAGATTTCACCGAGATGGTCAACTTCCCGCGTTACCTTTAATAGATGTCTTTACAACTCCTCTCAGCCAGGTGAAGCTGACAGGCTGCATCAGTATCTATCTCAGCAGTTGGTTGAGAATGAAATGAAAATAGCCACTATACATGACCACTGTCCTGGAGCTCAATCTATATTTGCCTCTTTTAATATGTATATAAATACATTCTAGCTGATCACAAGACCCTAGAGTACTCAGCACAGTAAATAATAGAAGCAAAAGATAAGAATATCAAGATACCAAAATTTATGGTCATGGTGTAAAGGCCAAGAGGTAACAGAAGTTTTGAACAGTGATAATAAGTCTACGCAGAGTTGGAGGAGCTGGCTCAGCCATGCCTTGCAAGCATGGGGCCCCAAGTTTGAGCCTTAGAACCTATGTAAGAAAGTCAGTTATGGTGCCTTGAGTTTGTAATCCAAGTGCTAGGCAGGCAGAGACAGGTGGATTGCTGGAGCTGGCTGGTCAGCTAAGCTAATATACTCATTGAGCAAAACCCAAAAAGTGTTGGCACCTGAAGAAAGACATCTGACTGAGCTTGTTCTCTGGCCACCACGAGTGCACACTCCATCATCACAAAACATTCTATAACATATTCTGACATTACAGTTTCCTAGTCACAGGGAAAAATAAAGTATATTTCAAATTACTATTTTTGTCTTTTTCTTCACTTCCCCTTATTAATGTAATTATGAGTCTAGACTTTCATTTCTATCAAGTAAAGGGATCCTAAGGCCCGTAAATCACAATAGTGTTGGAGTTCTTATTATACTACTGAGTACTACTGCATTGATTCTTGAACCCATTTTGCTTATCCCTCATTATCCTCAAAGAGAAGATGATGGGAAAACCAGCTGTGCTTCCAACAGTACAGGGTTATGGTGCTATTTCTTTTCTCCCCAAAACATTTCTGTAAAGATCGACTCATTCTAAAACCAAACTCAAATCTCTGACTTAGTACTCTTAGAAATCAAATTCTGAAGTATTCCTTAAAAACATTAAAGACCCTTTGAAGTACAAACTCCAGCCTGCTCTGTTTATTGGTATACGCTTTATAAGAACAGTTCTTTGCTTGTACCCAGTAAAACTGCTCCAAGTGGAGAAGAACTGATTACAGGTGCTGAGCAGATGACTACTGGGAAAAGATCTTGCTTACAGATGTGACTTGTAAGGACGTCCCGGTGGTATAACCCAAGTACGCTGCCCTCAATTCTCTTCACTGTACTTTCCAGATACATTTTAAAAGATTTATTTTATCTTTGTCTGTATGTGGGTATGTGCACATCTGGAGTGCTCATGGAGCTGAGGCATAGGATCCTCCCAGAGCTGGCTGGGAGCTGCCTAAGTGGGTGTTGGGAACCGAACTCAGCTCTTCTACAAGATCAATGTGTGCTTTTACCTGATGAACCATCTCTCCAGCCTAGATCTACACTTCTGAGTTTGTAGCAACTCTACTCTGAGAGAACCATAGGTGTCATTTTTCTACAAGCACTGGCCAACTTAGTGTATCTGTGTCACTTTTTGGTGATTTTCATTTAAAATCTTCTCTAATATTTTATTTATTTATTATTTATTTATTTTTGTCTTTTTGATACACAGTCTCCCTGTAGTCCCAGCTGATCTGAACTCATTATGTGGACCAGGCTGGCTTTGAATTCACAGAGATCCACCTGCCTCTGCCTCCTGAGGGTGCACTGCCTACAGATATGTAGGTGCGCCTGTATCATGCAGTGTCAGCAGAGATCAGAAGAGGGCATGGATCCCCTGGAACTGGAGTTACAGATGGTTGTTAGCTGCCATGTGGATGCTGGGAATAGAACCTGGGTCCTCTGCAAGAGCAGCCAGTGCTCTTAACCTCTGAGTCATCTCTCCTGACCTTCTTCTTTTGAGACAGGGTCTCATGAATACCAGGTAGCCGAGGATGGCTTTGAACTTCTGATTCTTCTGTTTCTAACTCCCAAGTTCTAAGATTACAGTTGCATACTACCACACTGGTCATACGGCACAGGAATCAAGCCCAGGACTTCATGCATGATAGGCAAGCACACAACATCTCCAGCTACAGCCACCTAGTCTCCATGACAACCATCCTAAGCAGTCAGCAGCCATGGACATTAAGGTAAGTCCCTTCATAGGGGAAAACAAAAAAACCAAAACACAAAATTTATAACTTATGATGTGCTAAAGGCTGAGATGAACATTTCTTCAGATACAGCATTTTAAACTGTGATATGTGTGTCATTTTCAGATACATTATTGTACAATTACCATAGTGTAAACCTAATTTACATATGAACCCAGAAGCAAAAAACATTTACCCACTTCATTACTGTAGTCCTGGCTCAAACCCACAGTATCTTCAAAGTTTGCTCTTAAATTTGTTTTCATTTAATCTAGTAAGTCAAAATAATACCTTAGTTTTTACACCTTGTGTTTTTAGCATAACAGAAAAACTGTTCAAAGTACATCTGTGCAACAGAATGCCTTCCTTTCTGAAGTGTCTATGACTCCTCCGAGGTTAGCTTTGTCAACTTGACACATCCTAGATTACTCGGGAAGTCTCAGTGAGGGACTGTCTACACTGAGTTGGCCTGTGAGCATGTCTGCAATGGACTGTCTTAACTGATTTGGGAAGAGTCAGCCCACTGTAGGCAGCACCAATCCCTAGGTCAGGGGTCCTGAACTGTGTAAGGGTGAGAAATCCCACCCATCAAGAAAACCAGCAAGTGAGCATGTGTTGTTCATCTTTCTCTGCTCTGAACTGTGGCTGTGATGCCTGAAATTCCTGCCTTGACCCCCTCGCCACACACACACACACAAGGAACAACTGGAATCTGGAATTGCAAGCTGCAAGAACCCTTTCTCCTGTAAAAACCTTTTGTCAGGATATTTATAACAGCAAAAGCACTGTCCAACTTGAAATTTGTATACTCATGAAAACCATACAACTACAGTACACACTTCTCATACACACCTTGTTCTGTCCTTTTAAGGTTGTTGGAGGTGTCTACAGTTTCAACTGTACTTACAGCACAACTTATACTGACCTTGAATGTCTTGGTCATCTGTGAGGTTTTTAGATTCAGGCACTTCTACATAATAGTACAGAAAGTAACAATCTTACTCAGAGACTAACTCAAAAGAGGGGCAGAAAGAATTATGTAGCTGGAGGATGGGGAGGGGTGCTGTGAAACACTGTCTTCTGCACTTAGGAACTCAGCAGCTGTAACCACACAAAATTGAGTCTGCCAACATTCCAATATGGGGGAGGGGCATAAGGCCCCACACATAGCTGAAGAGCTGCTGGCAGTTAGTGGCTGCTGACAGATAAGGGAGTCCATTTTCTGCAATGGCATAGTAACTGGTAAGCTGTCCATTCCCCATTAAATAACCTCCCATCCATGCTCATGCAAACAACCCAATTAAATTTAGTGGGTCAATAAGAAAAAGGGGGAGACTTGTTGGAAAGATGGAGTCTAGAGACAGTGGGGGGGTGGGAGAATAAGGAGGCAATGGGGAGGAAATACAAAAATATTTTGCATAAATCTATGAAATTTTAAATCTTTATCGAAAAATTGCCTCAATTACATCATAAAAAACTTACAATGTCTGTGGAAAAGAAATCAAGTCTTTTTTAACTTTTCTCAAAAATTTTGGCATCCAAATCTTTTATTATATATTGATATTTGATTGATAAAGATAATTCTTGTCTCCCTGGTATCATCCAGGCTGTGAAAGATTAGAACTAGACAAGGAAAGGTTCTAGCCCATCCCTGGAGTGATAAGTGACCCTGAGCAAATCCACTGCACATTTTTCAAGTTGTATCAATGACATAGCCATTCAGAAGCTCTCAGGAGGTGATGGATTTAAAGATACTCTGGAAAGTATGAACAATTTTCAGATCCAGTTTCATGTACCTGTCCAGGGTTAGGTGGACAACAGTGGTTGATCCAATTATGAGGGAAATAACCATTTATAATAAAATAGCTTATTTCACTACTGACCTATTATTTACTCAAGTTAAATATTTTTCAAAATTATTTAATTAACTCTCATATAATTTAAACCACACGCAACCTCCCTGGACAAGACACAGGGCCATTTTTTTCCTCTAAGGGATTTACTGGTCCCTGTATAACCTGAGGAAAAAGCCCACCAACATTCATAGGCAAAGAATAACAGTCACTGTTATGATGTCTTCTTAGTCTTGGAGTATGTCCTGTGATGAAGTCTGTCTAATCATGTCCATGCCTGTGCAGAATATCCATAACCCCAAGGCTTGCTCTGTGTGTCAGGAGGCCAGGAATAGGAGAGCTTGTACTTTCACACAACCCGCTGGGCCTTCCCTTTGGGGTCTGTGAGGACAATCACACCCCAGCAGGCAATACCTAAAGAAAGAAAACAAAGGTATTCTGAGCATACACCGGTGCAGCCTCCTTTGCCTGGTGCTTCATGGACGGCATGTTATTTAACCCTAGCATTGGAGGTGTTCAAGCAAGTCCCCAGAAAGAACTGCTGCATGTAGGACTAAATTTCCTGAAAGGCCGACCAGTTGATTAGTACACCAGAGATTGTGGGAGTCTGGAATGTTGCTGATCCAAAGCCTAGTCACAAATCATCTGGGACATCTTTAACCCCATATAAACTATATTAACTTAGCACACCAACAGGTCTCACCAATCCAAAAGCTAGGACTGCCACCTGAGTCCTATAGTAGGACAACCCCCGCCCCCATCCATGACCCACAAACGTTTATTTGAACAGTGTCTTATGACTTTTCTTTGTTGTTCCTGTGAGAACATAACTGTTACTACACTGGAACACTGAATTTGGGCTAACCTGAATCTGTGTTCCCGAGTCACGGTCACTCATATTTGGCTCCAGAATAAACTATTTTTTAGCCTCTTTGAGCTGAGAGTTGTACTTTTGCATAGACAAAAGATGTCATTTTATCTTCCTTATAGCAGCCCCGCCCCGCCTAGCAAAGCCCAGATGAGTGAAGCCGAGACCAGCTGAACCCTCGAGTCCCGCCCCAGCTCACTGATGCCGAAGACCATCTTCGCGATGGTGCCTGGGCCGGGGGAGTATCCCAGCTTCATGGGCCTCCGGGACACCAAGTACACATAGGTGCCGGCCGCGAAGAGTGCCGAGCCTGAGAGCACACGGCAGCTCCAGCAGTTCTTGAACACCGGGTCCTTCTGAGCGGCGGGGGACTTGGGGGCCACGGAGTTGGGGATGATAGGGGTCGAAGGGGCAGCAGAGGCGGTCGCCGGGGCAGCAGAGGCGGACGCCGGGGGCTCGGATTGCCCAGACCACGAGGAACCCATGTCAGCGGCCTCCCGGCCTTTGGAGCCCTAGCTTCGAACCGACGTAAAAGTGCCGGAAAGCAGCACGCTGTCGTGCAGTCGCAGGGCAGCTGGGAAATGTAGTTGTGGCATGTTGCAAACGCCGGAGCAGGTTCCAAAGGCCCACTTTGCCTTACACCACTTCCGGAAAGTCTCAAATTTCAGTCTCCTTAGAGGAAAAGTCTGGAGCTCTAAGCCTCTTGCCTAACATCCACTAAGGCTGACTTGAGGTCTGTAAATAAAACGATTAAATTTAGTATGTTTTTATCTAAGTCCTATATACTTTGCTAAGCAGTGTTGTGTATCATACCATTTCTCAGCATACCAGTTTTCTCTTATGACAAAACTGTGAAGTGTCGCAGCAGTGGTTGAAAACCATCGTCTCTGGATCCGTGCAGACTCAAGTCTCTTAAACTCTGTACGTATTGTGAAAAGAATATATAAATAAGATCGAGATATTAAGCATGGGCCATATGTGAAAGCACACACCTTTAATCCCAAAACTCAGGAGCCAGTGACACGAAGATCTCTTAGATGGAAGGCCTCTGGTGAATTCCAGGCCTGTCACAGAGAGAGAGAGAGAGAGAGAGAGAGACAGAGACAGAGAGAGACAGAGAAGAGACAGAGAGACAGAGAGAGAGAGAGAGGAGAGACAGAGAGAGAGACAGAGAGACAGAGAGAGAGAGAGACAGAGAGAGACAGAGAGAGAGAGAGAAGAGACAGAGAGACAGAGAGAGAGAGAGAGAGGAGAGACAGAGAGAGAGACAGAGAGAGAGACAGAGAGACAGAGAGAGAGATTGAATTACTCAATTTTGTCATTATTCGTGTTTTTTCTTTGCCCTTGAGAGCCTTAGAGAAAGCTAAATACAAAATCATGTGAATGAATTGAGGAGTTAATGTACGATTTGTGTTCACAGGTTTATATTTTTATTATCCTTTAAGAATAAATTTCTCAGGGCTGGGGAGATGGCTCAGTAAAGGGCTTCCTACCCAAGCATAAAGTGTGAGTTCTGGAATTTGGAGCCCCAGAACCCACATACATGTTTGGACACGGTGGCCATGCCTTTAATTCCAAAGATCAGAAGATCAAGATCTCTATGGATTCCCTAAGGAAGCTGGCTAATTGGTCATGTTTTCACTCTGGATTTTATTGTCTCAGCCTCAACACTGAGGTGGAGAACAATTGAAAACTCATGACATTAGCCCTAGTCCTCCAGATTTCTAGATAACAAGATTTTTAATGTTTATTAAACTTTGTGAGCTGTAGAGATAGCTCAGCAGTTAAGAGCACTGGCTGCTCCTGCAGAGGACGTGGGTTCGAGTTCTAGTACCCAAATGACAGCTAGCAACGTCTGTAACTGCAGTTCCAAGGGATCCAATGCCCTCTTCTGATGTCAGTGGGCATTGCACAAAACAGGTACATTCACATACATGCAGGCAATACACTCACACACATAAAGTAAAAATAAAAATATTAAAAAATAAAGTACCTTTGAAAAAATATTTGTTTCCTTATGATTCATTCAAGTGAGTGAGTTCAAGATTTATTTGTCATTTCAATGTGATATTGCTCCAAATTTAATAGTGATTTCTACAGAACCCATGTCTTAAAACTGCAACATAGCTTTGATTGGAAATTACTGGAAGGGTTAAGATACCTTTTGAGACAAATGAGATGGAAGCATTTGAGACCAAACAGAGATGGATGAGAGCAAGTGGAGCTGTGGTGAAAGAAAGATTGCATTTGCTGAAAAAGAAAGAGGAGAAGGCTGGATGCTAACTTGACCCCCGTTTTCTGTATAATACTCATTTCTTTTTCTATACTTATCATTGTATACTGTATTGGCTCTTATGATGCCCAAGACCATGTGACTTTTCCTGTTAACAAATGTAAAAAGGGAAAAAAATAAACTATAAAAATCCTATAATCCAAAGCCAGGTGTGGTGGCACACCCCTTGAATCCCAGCACTTGGGAGGCAGAAGCAGGCGGATCTCTGTGAGTTCAAGGCCAGCCTGGTCTACATAGTGAGTTCCAGGACAGCTGGGGCTACAGGGAGACCCTGTCTCAAAAAAGACCCCCCCCCCCCAAAATTTTATAATCCAGTGTGTCCCTCACACTCCTGCCCACCTGGCACACAGTTCCTCGTCTCTAATAACCAGGTTACTGGGGACTCATGTGTCTTTTTGGAGATGCAGTCATGTGCATGTGTATGCATGTGTGTGTATGTAAAGATCATCCTCACACTGTTGTGTCACTCTATACTGTTTCATTATGTGGACATGCTATGCTAAACTTCACGTTGGTAGGTATCAGTGAGCATTTAGTCTGCCACTACAAATTTGCTATTTCAGATAGTGTCGCAATAAATAACAGCATTCATCATATCACAAACATCCCTACTAAGGTATGGAATTTATAAACTTGACAGACTGTACCAAATTGCCCACCATAGAAGATGTACCAAACAATTTACACTCTTACCAACATGCATAAAAATATCTGTCCTCCAAAACAGTGAATTTTAAGCTTTACTCTTTCACAATCTACTAAGTGATAAATGGTTTCAGTTTTTTTTTCTTACTACGATTAAGTTACTTCATGTATGTTTAGGGATGACTCATACTCTCTCTTTGTGAGCTTTCACTGTCTTTTCCATTTTTCCTTCCAGTTATCTTTCCCTCCCACCAGAGGGATTAATCTCTTGTCTGTGATGTAAGTTCATATAGGGCTAAGGCGCACAGATAGAGAAAACTGACACAGGACAACACCTGACCTCAGAGGAAGACTTGGGTTAAAATATCTGGCTCTGAATATCAGTTCCACAGAGAGGAAGGACATCTCAACCCTGCTAGGACTTAGTCCTCCACTGAATATTGCAGATGCCACCACTGAAAGAAAAAGGGGGACTTGAATTGTAAAAATAAAATATAAAAAAGAAAGAAAGAAAGAACCAATGAACTACAGATGTGTAAGTCATGCCACAAAAAAATAAATAGCATGAAAATCTATTTTTGGCTCTCTGGAATTCAATATGACCCCATATATATAGTCCCGTGGTCTGTCATTTGTAGGTGTTTTACCATCTTTTGGAGCATTGCTTTTAATACATGGCTATCCTGGCTTATTCTGTTGATAAGGCAAAAAAAAAAAAGCTCCTTGTTGTAGACCCCCACCCAGTTTTCCACAGTTATATCTGTGGTGGGCCTCCATTTCTAAGAGGGAAAAATAGAAGAGATGGGCTTTTAATGTTCATAGCAGAGATGTAGAGATGTAGTAGATGTCACAGATGATGCCCTTCTCCTTATTTGGCTGGACTTTGCTACTTTCACATGATTTCCTCTCTCCCATTCTTCCAGAATGCACACTAGCTGCTGCATGTGAGGAGCCTTTTATCATTCCAATGATAATGGGCCTGTCCAGACTATGTCAACTCATGGGGTTAGGAAGGTATGTGTCCATCCTTCTATGACAAGAGATAGCCCTGCAGATTCTGTTCTTCATTTGTGATAAGTCTGTTTTATACCATCTTCACTCTCCAGGTAGACGTTAGACTGAGCAGTGCCCCAAGTGGTGGGCTGCAGTATTGGAAACATGGAGGAAGAGTAACAAGGAGGTGTAGGTGGCAGGGACACGTGTGACAAGGAGCTGGAGTGGATGCAGGTGATCAGTAGGCTCAGGAGGAAGTCACTCTTCTTGTGTTACTGCTAGAGTGAGTCTGCTTTTGAAATGTTTCTTTTTTTCTCCCCAAATAGCCACTCACCCTATCTTTAATTGCTTACAGATCCCTTTCATCTTTAATTTTCTCTTTGCTCCTCAGTATATTTATGGATGTGCTGATTATCCTCATAGTCATCTGTTTTTGTCCTTACAAACCTCATGGTTTCTTTTTATTATTCTCCCACTGCTTTTATACAGTTTTGACAACTCATATTTTATCTTTTCCTGCTGTCTAATAATTGCATTCCTAAGCTATTTTATTTATGCTTTGAACTCTTGCTTCAGATGCTTGATTACTTCCTAATGTTTTTAAAATTCAGGGAGAAATTTTTGTTGATGAATTATATGTTCAATAACAGTATTTCTCTACATGTTACTTTTGAATCCAGCATTTATTTTTCATGTTTCTTCCATTCTTTTCCCTCCTTACTGTGTCTTCGTCTTGTTTTGGTCCCTTTCAAATTAAATATCTTCCAGAAGATGTTTTCTTCCACAATCAGAAGGATGCCATCAGAACAGAGTCAGAGCCCAGGTGCAGGCCAGCGGGGATTGTCCCCAGGAATCTGGGAACAGTATGTGAGCTAGTGTTGCCTCCTTGATCATCAGTGGGTAAAATGGCCAGGTTTGGAGATGTCCGGATTCAGCCTTTGATGCGGCACAGGCATGGAGACCTCCTGCTTCTATCGGTGGCTTCTCAGCTTCCTCTTCACTGACACCTCCTTTTCCTTCATGGACCCAAAGTGGGTCTGTGGGTCTGTGGATTCAGTTTAACATCTTATAGTGTCCCCACCACCTTCAAACCCTGTTCTCTGCTGCCCAGCACCTCCACTAAAGAGTCCTTGCTCTGATGTCTCTTCTGCCCAGCTCATGTTGTGGGATCACCGTGGCCCCAGTGAACTCATATGTACCTCTTGCAGTTCAGCATCATTGCCCTCAGCCCCTGATATTAGGGTGTGTGGATACTCCTCTTGGCCTTCTTCTGGGTAAAAATGACAATAGAGGAAGTCTCTGCTGCATTCGGAGATGGAAGCTACTTCTTACTGCAGCATGCAGTCATCCATACTGTCCAAAGTTGCCACCTATGAGAGTATTTGAAATATAGGGAACCAAGCTTGGCTGTCGCAGTGAGAATGTCAAGGATGCAGACATCACACATCTGGTGATGCTGTAGTTCCATTCAGTACAGTTCCCTTGCTTACATTTTGTTAGGTGCTCTTTTTTTTTCTTTTCCTTCATGACCAGATTTCATTATGTAATGCTGGTGGCCTGGAGCTCATTATCAAGACCAGACTGGCCTGGAACTCTCTATATACCA